TATATATATATATATATATATATGCGGGCGTATGTATAATTGTTTTCTAAAGTGTTGGAGAGAAGAGCAACTGGCTGGAAGTTCATGTAAAGTTATAATAAAATCACTAATTTGCTAATTAGACGTAGCAGTTCAGCGACATTAAGTAACAGTCTGATAAAATCTTGGACATTTTACTTTGAACGTATTTGGTTCAACAAGCTGGTTATCTTAGCCAAACTTATTCCATAAATACTAAAAGAGTTAAGCTCTTTCAAACATGCTGTGATGTAACATCATGAATACTCTGAACGCAGCTTCGTCGGATTTACTTTCTGCTTTAACAAGTCTTGTATTTTGTAAAATCCCTTTCACTAAATTTTCTACAAAAAAGCAACCGAGCAAGTAATTTGCTCACATTTTTAGATGAATTTTCATTCAGTCCCCAAAGACCAAAGTCTATTATCAGAACAAGCAGTATTTCAAGTCCAGCTGTTCTCGACCAAGATACTTTTCATGTCAATAATTTCAGTTTTAACATGTTTAGTAGATATGAACATTAGTAGTTCTAAAGTCTAAACCAGCATCTTGAAGCAAAAATATGCAGCATTTAGCAGATATTTAAGTACTTTATTTAGCAGATGATGACGCCCAAAACATGACTGTGTATTTATATGAAGGCCAAACACATTTAGTCAAATCATTGTTCATATTTCTGAGATGGTGTTTTGAGGAGCTGATCTCTTCAGTCAGAACGGACTTAACCCCTTACTGCCAATCTACCTTTACAATTTACACTACACCACTGTGTGACCGGAAAGCCATTATTGTCTCATAAAACCTTTTTTGTCAATATGTTTATAGAAAGCACATTTTATTCATTACATCTAAAAAAAGATCTTGGTAATATATAGCCTGTATATGCTTTTATTTTAAAATAGCCAGAATACCTCAAATGAACCTCGTCTTTTATTACCTCACACACTTTCAGTTCTCCAGTGTTATTCAGGACACATTGGTTTTTGTATGTGCTTTTGTTGTGTTCTCACTGGAGCCCCATGCCTTATTCATCGCTCAGTAGTTTGCTCCCACGTGCACACCATGATGGTGGAAAACAGAATTGTGTCACTTCCCTCTGCAGGCCTTCCTAGCCACCTGTACCCGGCCAAAGCCCACAGATTCTACCTCGCCTCACGTCTTTGTGCAGCTGCCCCTCTGAGTGTCACACCAGCACATCTGCACGTTCAGATATACAAACATGTGCACACGTGCACACATGCGCACACAAATGAACTGGAGGCATGGACCTGTTAGGTCCACCGCTCCACCAACAGCGTCCAGCAGGTCTTTTTCAGGTGTGGATCAAGAACTGACAGCTGTCACAGCCTTTTTTAATTTCTACTACCCATCTCATGGGACCAAGAATCACTTTGAACACTGTTTTAATTTTAGAACCTGAACTGGCAGCGAGGGCGGGGCTGAATAAGTGACAAAATAAATGGAACATCAGGAAGAACTGGGACAGTTGGGAGATGGGACTCCAGATGAAGCCATTTTGCCACATTTTGTCAGGACTCCAGCAGGTGGTGGGCTAGAGGTCACACATGAAAATAAAATAACTGTGAGTGAGTCAGCAGTGTTTGTCTGTGGATAGGGCAATCATGGGGAAACTCAAAGGCTGTGGTGATGCTCATACCAGATGTTGCCATGAAAATAAAGCAGATTCCTCCCCAGGAGAAATGGACATGAAAATGAAAAGACTTTCTGTCAGACTTCCCTATGGCCAAGACCCAAATACAGCTCTACAGATGTCCACCATCCTTATTCCTGTTTACCATCCACAAAACACTAACAAAGAACAGATCAAGTTCTTTCTTTGCACTATAAACCACAGTGTCTGTATCCTCAGCAGCTCTGGACCCTTGTCCTCTAACCCCCTTCTTGGATTTCTGTCCTGTTTATCATTTGTGTGAAGCAGTCCTAAGATTCTTACAACAAAAAAAAATTAACTTACAAGACTAATATGTCCTTTTGTAATGGAAACATTAAGGACCATGACTTGGCCTGTAGGTGGCGCCACTCTCAGTGTAGCAGGGTATTTAAACAGAGCATGCTGATTATATAGGGACACGCACAATCAGCAGCCGGACAATGAAGCTGAAGTGGTTTGCATCCATCTTCAGCACTCTAAAGACTCTTTCACAAAACAAATCCCCAAAATGGCCACAAAGACCTGTCTGTATGCTGCCTCTGGCCATTTATAATCACTGATGGAGCCAGCAACGTCCAGCAGAGGTGTGAGCTTTCAGAACTGAAGCAAGAATGGCAGAACTCAGCTGTGATGACATAGAGCGCAACGCATTGAATGTGTCATGGACGTCTCCCTCGCATAGTAATCCATTCCACTTGATTAATAGGAGAATACTCAAACCACCAATAGTCCACTCCAGGTTTTTCTGGTTACCTACAACAACTCACTGCACCACATGCAGTCCTTCTTCTAGGTCACCTGCCTTGACAGGGCGCTCATCTCTTGGGGGGGATTGTCGATGGGTCGGGGGGAGGAGGGGGAGACACTTGTGCTTCGAGCTAGCTTAGCGCTATGTTAGTACAGGCAGATGTTGACCAGGGTAGGAGGGATTAGGATTAGGATGTGTGAGAGAAGCGTAGTGTTACGTCTGTATCATCTTAGTTAGCGTGTTTGTATCATGCTCTGCTAGCTTATCGCTACATTAATACCAACAGTTGTCGACCGGGGGGGGAGGGGGGGTGTCGAGAATTGTGCCATGCTCTCTAAAAGTTATTGAATCATGTGTTTACTGTATGTAGGTAGACGTAGATGTTTAACAACCCATTAAAATACGCCAGAATGCAGGAAACGGCATCTACTTTTTTCAAAATTTTCTGAGGGAGGAACCCCAGACCTCCCACCAGTGTGTCTCCCACCCTCCCCCACCCCCCCATTACAAATGCTGACGCTAATGTTGTCGACCATCTCCCCTCTGTTACGATGCTGCTTTGCAGCACAAAGATGCATCATAGGTGGGTTGGCTTCAACCCCCTCTACTGCCTTGATCTGTTCAGAAATCACACTGAGGTGGCCAGAAGGCATCCGTCCTGGCCTGGGATGTTTTGTGAAAGAGCCCTAATACT